GCAGGAGAGCACACAACCATAATACAATTATTTTGATTTCATATAATGTTTCAATTGATATTAGTTTTGATAACAACAAATTTTAGCTTAAAATTAATCAAAACATTATTAGACACCATGTGCTGCCACTGATCTAAGAGTAACAAGCTTGACATTAGTTCTCAGAACAAACACTATCACCAACTTAATATTCAGTAAACCCTGGTCTTGGCATACCTGATTAAAAATGAATTCTCTCTCTCTTCTCAACCAATGATTGGTGAGCAAACATGGGTGTGTGCAGTATTATAGCTTCTCTCTTCACTTAGCTAGTTTTATCTGTTGGTAAGGCCTTTTCCATAATAACTCATCAAGATATTCCACTCTGGGTCTTCCAGATCCTCTTTTTCCCTGTATCTTTCCTTGCAATAAAATATTCATCCATTCCGAGTGTTGAATTAGGTGGCTAATCATGTCATTTCTCCTTTTATATATAAGCCAATATAATGAAAGGTGTAAGATAAGTTGTGAACTATCACCACTATTGTTCAACATCTACATAGAAGAGGCAATGAAAGAATTCTAGGCCACTAATACAAAAGGTATAAAAGTGAACAGAAAGTTGTACAGCATAACAAGATTTGCTGACGACATCGCAATGATAGCAGAAGACGTAGACAACCTACAGACAGCTCTTGAAAATTTAAACAATTTAAATGATAATGTGGGATGAGAATAAATACAAAAAATACAAAGATAATGAGATAATAATAATAAAAAAAAAAAAGAGGAACAAGGAGGAATGAACATCTATTTGGATGGAGAGAAAATAGAAGCCAATGAGTTCACATAGCTAGAAAGCATAATTACCTCAGACAAAAGGAGTGGAAGAGATGTTACAGTGAGAATAGCTCAAGCAAAACAGGCATTCTATAGAAAATGACAGATGTTACCATTGAAAAATATATCAATTGATGTTAGGAAGGGATTCATTAAGAGTTTCATCTGGAGCAAAGTATTGTACGGTTCAGAGACATGGACACTCTGAACAATGGAGAAAAGAAAACTGGAGGCCTTTGAGATATGGCGTTGGCAAAGAACGGTGCGAGTGTTGTGGATGGAGAGAAAGAAGAATGAGGATGTCTTAAAAGAGGCAACAGAAAAAAGAGAGATTTTGACAACAATAGAGAAAAGGAAAAATGGATTAGGACCAGTATTTCCAAACTTTTTTCTAATTTATTTTTATTATATTAGTTACAAAATTGTTTATTAGCCTTAGAGAGTATCTGAATATCTTCACTTCCTATAATAAATGCTAAATTTAAATTTTTGTAAATTTTCAAGTAGAATAGACAAAAATTTTGCTTGATTTTGTGTTAATCTAAAGATGACACTAACATGTTCTAAAAATCCCTTAACTCTTCTTCACATTTTAAGCAATTTAATTCCTTTTTTCTATTAAGTACTAAATAAAGTTTAAAACAGACATTTTTATAAATTCAGTTAACAGATAAGATACTAGTATATTATTGGTTGGCTCCCAAAGTCTTAACAAATAACAATTAAATATTCATCTGCTAAACATTGATAGATATTTCATTTTATTGGTTTTATGCTTTAGACATCAATGATAATTTTGTTGAATATATTCAATTTTGTAAAACTAATAATATTGATTTTATATCATATGGCACATTTTATTTTACATATTTCTTTTTTACCATCATAACTAAAATAGATTTATGAATGAATCATTTTAGATTTTCTTATTAAATTTTAAAAGTATTTGACTCTTATATTTTTGAAAACCATTCTTTTGATCTTCAAGATCATGATCTTGACTAACATTTCTTTAATTGAATTCAACTTTCAAATCAATCATAAAGAAAAACTGAATTAAAAAATTGAGACTATTCAAAAAAATATTGTATTAAAAATCAAATAATTTTGAAGATTTTTGAGAAAAATATTCTTAAAAATACAGTTACAAAGTTATAGCATTTTTAAGAATATTTTTTATAAAGTTCAAAAGAATTTATCAACAAATTAAGATGTAATAAGTTTTAGTGAAAATTTTAATAACAGTCTAATCAGATCAAGAGTAAAATATTTTTGTGTCACTATCCATAAATTAATGTCATGTTACAAATAAATTTGCATTATAGCACAACATTTTCAATGTGAAAATAAATTTTGTTTACATAAAAAATTTTCTTATACATGTTTCATACCATAACAGACAATAACTAATTTAATACAAATTAATGCTAGTTACTGTTACTTCAATTTTGAAGGTGTAATGTTTATTACCACTTAATTTTTATAATGTTTACAAGTGTTAATGTTAATATGTGTTTAATATACTTTCAAACAAATGTTCCAGTTTAGAGAATATAACTTCAGTAGCAGAGGAAGACTTCAAGAAAGTGAAAACATTTCTGGGAAATATTTCTCAGTTGACAGCTTATTGACTATTATGCTGCTTATTTTTATAAGCAGCATAAGTTTTGATATATTTTCATTTAAATTAATTTTCTTATTTTTGTAAAAGATATTAATTATTGCAATGGAATCATGATTAGTATCTTGAACGAAACAAAATGAAAATTATTCTCAAACACATTTGTCCATAAAATATTTTATTTGATTATACTAACAAAAGAAATTGATAATTTTTGATACCTTAAACTGGAACTATATAATAAACAACAACTTGACTATAATAACTATTTTCAAAGGATAGAACTGTTTTTTGTGTTTTTCTTGCATTTATTCCTGATGAGAGCCTCAAAACGTTTGAACATTAAACATTCTTTGTTCAGTTTATGCCAGAATTCTCATTTAGGTATCAAGTAGTTGTTTAAAATGTTTATTAAAAAAAACAAATGAGCATTTTATATTTAAAAATTCTATTTTTATAGAATGTTTTTTATATTAGGGTCAATGGCAGGCTTGAAGCCAGACCACAAATTGGAGCAAAAACATCCATTCGTTCCATCGATAAACATATTGCTGGAAAGAGGAAAAAATAGTATTTTTCAAAGGTCAGACGAGGATCTCCGACGAGACCATTGTCTATCATTATTTTTTCCACCTAAAATTTATTTTGTTCTACCACAAAAAAACACCAGCAGTCGATACTTTTTACGTTAGCTGTAAAAATATATTACCATATATTTGTGCAGATAAGACAATAGTTGAATCATAAAAAAAGACCCCTAAAATCTGGGATCGCCTTATAGGACAGATACAAAAAAACAAAATTAGATTGAAATTTATATAAATTAAAATCATTATAAAAAAAAACTGTAAAACCGTAATTATTTACTAGTAGAGAGTAGGGTATGTCCACAAAATAGAATAGCCCATACGACATTTTTGTGAATAGTCAAGGTCATTACCCAAATGCCCGAATCAGTGGGAATGTTTGCAACAATAGCAAGGCAGTGCTGACAGATGCAAGAAAATAAAATTTTTTCATTTGAAAAATTATGAATAGGATATACAAGGTCTGTTCAAAAAGTATCGGACCTTTGGTCGGCAAAAATAAATTTATTGACTTTGAGGTACAAAACCCTAATCCCCTTCAAAGTAGTCTCCTTGGTAATGTATACACTTCTCCCAGCGTTCCTGCCATTGCTGGAAACACTGCTGGAACGCATCTTTTGGAATGGTTATCAGCCGGTCCGTCGCATTTCGCATGATGTCTTCTCTCGACTAAATTTGGGTTCCTTTTAGCGGCATTTTCAGCTTGAGAAATAGCCAAAGGTCACACGGAGCCATGTGGAGAGAGTACGGAGCGTGACGAACCACAGGAGTATTGTGTTTGGCGACGAAAGCCCGAATCAGATGCGCAGAATGGGCGGATGCGTTATCACGATGGAGCTGCCAAGTTTTGATCGACCACAGATCCCATCGTTTGCATCGCACTGTATCGGAAAGACGACGAAGGACCTCCTGGTAGTACTCCTTTGCGATGGTTTGGCCTTGTGGTGCGTACTCACGACACACCACCCCACGAGAGTCGAAAAAACTGTCAACATGACCTTTGATATTGCTGCGGACCTGCCGCGCTTTTTTTGGCCTCGAGGATCGTCCCCGAAAGCCTGCTGAATCTTGCGAATGGTTTACACTCGGGTATCGCCAAGGTTTTTGGCAAAATTTGATGTAATATCGCTGCTCACGTTGTTCAGTCATTTTTCCAGCTTAGTGGAATCCGACGAGAGCACACTACATGACCTCACTCATAGGCCGATTGCCAACGATTGACGCTTCCTGCAGGCGGGAAAAAATTCAAGGCTGTGCATGACTGTCCCCTCCACAACTCCACCGAAGGAGGCATCTCGCGCATCATTGGTTTATGCGGAAAAAAAAAAGGTCCGATACTTTTTGAACAGACCTTGTAATTCTGTATACGTTATACAGTATTATTATCCATATGACGATCTCTGACCTAAACTAAACTCATGGGCCGTTGATAGTTTCGGGTCATCTTATAGGACAGATATATGCTAATACTATAAAACTTTGACAAAAATTTATACCTCATCTTATCTGCAAATATACTGTAACCATCTGTTTCCAAATTAGAAAATAGCACAAATTGTTAATCTGTATAGTGTAGGTAGCGTAATATAGTCAAGTATATAATTTTAAAATGAAAGTATTTATAACTCATATTTCCTGTTTTGATGGAAGAAAAGTGTAACAATTTATTAGTAGAAAATGAAACTAATATTTATACGTTATGTATTCGACATTCTATGCGAACTCTTCTCATTTCATCATCATATTTATCAGTAACATTGGGGAGGAAAAATGATACAATAACGATTGGGAAGGAGATAAAGTTTGTCGATAAATTACTTTGGCGGCAAAAAAACTGCGGGATTCTCGTCGTCACTCAAAAATTTTAAAAGGGTAAAAGAAGAATCGATGTATTGGACAACTGGAAAGTCGGACGATAGAAAACGGAAGTAAATTTATGGGAAGAACCCTTGGGGCGATCACACTTTACTCACCTTGACTGCATCTAAAGGATACATGACACAATGCTCCATAATGCCAGCTCCCGCTCCGGCCAACATGTGGACGGCCGTCGAGGACGTCGGTAAATATTCGTATTCCTCGAAATCCATCTTATTTCCCTTTATCCATAATTTATAATTATAAATTTTATTCCGGACGGAGCCGGCGGTCCACTAACATGGCGGAGCGACGCATCCCCTGGTGTGACGAAACCGAACGTCTTCGATAAATTCAGATGATATTTAAGTTAATTAACGCACTCCTAAATTTCTATCGTAAAAATTATATTTAAATTAATGTAGAATTTTTAAAATAACTTTTTATTCCCTACTTAAAAAATTAAACTGGATATTCTCGCTAAACTTGATTCATTCGTTACGTTAATTTATATTACGCGTGCGGAAATTGTTTCAAAAACTTTGTTTCGAAAGTTTATTTAGTTTGAAAAAATTATCAATTTTAAATGTAAAACGTAAATTTAATGAATTAAAATTTTATATTTACATTTATTTCTATAAAATTTTAAGTCGGAAGGTGTTTAAAAAAAGAAAAAAAAATTGAGCAGCCGAGCGGAGCCGAAAGCGAAAAAGCAGAAAATTTTGCCTCGAATAAGCGTAAAGAGAGCAGAAAAATCAAATAAAATTGGACTTTTCCGATATTCTACTAAACGTCCCATCCGATCGATGTTCGAGAACGAACATCTATAAACATATATAAACAATTTATTTCCTCTAAAGTTAATACTGTATGTGACGAAATTTTTTTCTATTGCGCAAGTATAAAGTACTGTACATAATTGTAAATAGAAAACAAGAAAAAAAACTAGCTGCGTACGACCGGCGTTGATCGAGTTTTCGAGAGTGTAGGGATGGGTGAAGTCTAGTCGAGAGAGACCGATAAAACAACGGTTTTAGTAACTAAAATGTACAGTACGTTTATAGATCGCGGTATTCGCAATGATCAAACTTCAGAGAACAGAAAAAAATTGCTGGGAGAAAAAAACTTAACAGGGAGTAGAACCCCGACACGTTTGTCCCATAGGCTTAACAGTATAATACATTTGTCACCTTACCACGCCCGAACCATTGCACTTTTCTGAAATTTCTCTTCGGTGGCATCGTCTACGGGATAAAAGCTTTAATTTCGTACCCGAATCATATTTTACCCCCGCCATTTACTCAAACTAAGTGGAACAACCCGAAACCTCTTTCAATTAATTCACAGATATAGCAAGTAAAATCGAAACATTTTTTTTTTCTTTTTGAAAAACTGGAAGATCTTTTTAAACGAGTGGCGTTATGTATTCATTTCGTTCTGCTAAAAATTATGATATTGTATTCCGACGGCGTCAATGTTTAATCGGAAGAGATTCTTTGGCCACTTTAGACACCGTATCCCGAAGCTATTTTCTTTTTCAAATTCGGGCACAGTACCTCCCGCCGCTAAGCGTGCCACGTTAAGGATCTGGCAGGACACACCGGCCGCATTCTTTTGCTTTCGCTGGAAAATATCGAATAATTTCGAAGGACGTAAGTCCGCCGCAAAGTTTGGTTTTAGGCTCGAACTTCTTTAACTCTATGAGATTTCCCATTTTCTCCATTTTCGGTATAAAATCTGCCGATTAATTAATTGGACGAAGAAACTTATTCTTCTGTCCAATTATTTTAAACGTTCTAGAAAAAATGTGCGTCGTTTTCCGCACCCGCGCAATTATTCGAAATGATCAAAAAAGTTATCGGAATCTGTTCAGATTTTTAGAAATACGTTTCAAATTTTTGAATTTTTGAGATTTCGTTACGGACGCAACGAAAACAAAATAAAATTACAAATATTCATTAAAATGTATAAAGCAGATTAAAATTTATTTTCGTTTTAAATATGTATGATGCAAATATTTAATTTCCAAAAGTACAATAAACACTTATAGAAAACACTTATTGTAAAGAAATTATCGGGAGAGGAAGGGAAAGCTGGAGATTTTTTTCAGGCTCCAAGAAAAGTTGAAGGCCGTAATGGTTTCTATCTGTAAATTAATGCTATTTTTAAAATATAAATTTTCGTCTACAATTTTATGTATCTTCTATTATCAGGACTTATTATATTGGCTTTACAGATAATGCTACAAAGTTTTACACAAAACAATTTTTTATTTTATTTAATATACCTGCAGGTATATTAAATAAAATAACTGACAAAAAAAACCCAGCAAAGAGTTGCCAAACTTTCCCGGCAACATTTGGTGGCGCCATCCGATACGATATTTTGCTTTTAAAGTTTTTATATTGTTAACTATCATAAAATGGCAAAAAGCTTAATTTTGAAGGTAAGGACGGGTTTTATAAAAATTCTAAGTACAACCAGTAAAATCGTCATTAAGTCCGACCCTACTGGGGATACACTCAGCCTCCTTTATCTCCCCATCCCTGGACCTTTAACCATCGAAATTTACTAGCATCGATCCCGCTAATAAATAAACCTTCCTGCGAAATTTCAGAAATTTTCGACAAAAAGCGCGAGAGTTATTAAGCTTCAAACAGGGCGAATAAGATCGTGCCCTCCCACACACTAACATCCATATACAGTATACAGAAATTACCCCCGAAATTTTTTGCATTTCTCGACGTTTATATTTCGTTTATTTTTTTAAAAATAAAAAGGCAAAGGGGCCCGGGCCTTTGCCTTTTTTTTAAAAAAATATCTCCACGACCACCCGTACAATCTCCGGGTGGCCGTGGAGATTACGCTTGATATTTTAAACTAGTAGCGTACGGACAGAAAAATTATTTTACATTTTAATCAGTGGCGTAGCGAGAGGGGGCAAGGGGTGTATTATGCATCGGGCGCCACTCGCAGGGTGGCGCCCAAATGGTCTCCGAGACAAACTATATGTTTCTGGAGGGGGAGGGGGCGAATAAAGTGTCGTGCCCCGGGCGCCATTTATGTTCGCTACACCACTGATTTTAATTTTGGCTTACATTCGATTCGTCCCGTGATAAATTACCATTCTTGAAAACGTGAAATTTTGTTTTCGATGTTTGGTGAATAATAATTATCACTCCGAATGCGAATCAAGTTAATGCGGTTACAAGGAATGTCTGTCTTTCGGGAAAGCAAAAATAATTTTTTTTTTTTTATTTATTGACAGTAAAATTTCTGTTTACTTTAAAGACAAAGTTTGATAAATTTAGTAATTTTGAAATACTATATTTGAATATAAATTCGAATTGTACTGTATCGTTAGATTATTAGCAAGAGAATAATTATTTTTTAAATTTTATAATTACGAATAATTATATTAATTCGTCGAAAGAATAATATAAGTTTTTGTTAATAACACGTTACTTTTAATATAAAAACTTTTTTAGCTTTCTTTTCTTTCGGCCGACGAGTGATTTAATTTAATGAGCAATGTACTAAATTCTCTCATTGAATTTATTTATTACGTTGTCGATGAATTTAATGGTTACGTCGGGTCTAAAAGAAAAACGTTTTCGTTTAGTGTAGAAATGAAATAAAACAATGCTTCCATCTGTTGGAAAATATCTGAACCGAAATAAATAAGTTTGTTTACGTTTTCTTATTAATAATATCATTACGTTTTCTTATTAGAAAAATGAATTTTTCGATCGTATTTGTTGGCTATTTAAAGAAAATAAAATAAAGACACAAATAAATGACAACTTTCACACTTTTCGGTAACAACGTGCCGTGATTATTAAAAAAAAAGTTCAATGTCGCATCCACCCTTACTAATTTTTCTCTTTTAAATTAGTGTTATACGTGATTTGCGATTTAAAACCGTTTCCAAACGTTTAATTTGCATAATTTGAAATTCCGGTTTTTGACTTGATGACCGAGGAATTGTATCGAGAACTGGTAATATGGTAAGATCGTTCCGAATTGGGTCAGTAATCGCCGGAGGTGGCTGCCTCCTCAACCTTGCTTGACGACCTAATTTCGACCCACCTGACGGGGTACGTCGTGGCAGTTGGAAATATGCAAGGTGACTATGGACGGCTTCTAATTCTATCGCCTTTGCTTTTCTTTACGGGTAAGTACATTTTCGTAAATTTAAAAACAACTACGGATAACTCTAAAAGACCCGTTATAAACATAAATATTAGATAAAATGTACGTAAACAAAAGACTCGTAAAGTTACGACGGTATTGAAATTCAATTTACTTTAAATTTTATTGTTATCCTATACGCCGAAACTTCCATCCCACGTGGAAAAAGTTTTCCGTAACGTTTTATGACGGATGAATAAATGTATTATAAAGTCAAAATATATTTGGTAAAGTCATAGAACCAGTATGACATTTTATTTATTAATGGCGGATGCAATAAGGTCAAACTATGAACTGTCAATTATATACAAAACTAAGTCATACCTAAGATTAAATTGAATATCCGGTTTTAAAAAAGATTATGACTGATACTATCCATATAGATATAGAAATATTCTTGATTACAATATTCAAACTTAATTTTTCTATATAAATATTGTATGTAAATGAAAATTTGTTTACTGTTTAGAATTTCGTTCTATCGCGTGCTTTAAAGTCGAGATCTCGAGTTTGGTCGCCTTGTACAAATTGTATACACCAGAAAATTTATAACCTAATTACTTTCTTGCATTTTTCTAAGTTTTTACTGTTTTAATAATTATATGAAAAAATATGGTATATAATTTATATCAAAGTTAATAATATATTATAGAACATCACGTTACATCACGTTTGATTCGTCTCAACATTTATTATATTAATGTATTATGCAAAACATTTTGATATACTCTCGATTTGATACTTTATTCGTTATATATTTGTTTTTCTGAAGTAAAATTATATGAATCGATTGTTTTTATTTCCCATTTTCCTCTTCCCACATTCTAATTTTGATACGATATTAGAATTATTTCCGATGATTTATTGTAAAAGTTCTCTAATCGATATTGTTCAATGTGTAAAGAAGACATTTGCAATGTGTTTAGCAAAAGTTGTGTTAATATAAAAACTTCGATATGTACCGTATTTACGCAATCGAACCCATTTCACGTTTTTTAGCGATTTCTTTTTATACTTCTCGTTTTTGATTCCTGTTACTATATAAGAAGTTCCGTTCGTCATGTAGGCTACAGATAGCAAATGCAACGTTACTTTTTGGGCCAGTTCCAATATTCGACCGTAGTTCGTCATTGGTTAGATTTTCATTACGATTTGATTTGATGGGATAGAGCCGCGATGCCCAATCTTTAGTCTATCTCGAGAAAATTAAGAATTTAAATTG